GTCTGATGTGGGGCAATATTATATTCAATCCCGTGAATGAGGCTGGAAAAACGAAGCATTGAGAGGAACAAATGTGACGAAAATCAGGATGTTACACGAGTTTTATCAATACCTGTACTTACACTTTCCGTTCACGCCGATGTGAAAGTACCCTCATAATACCCGGTCCCCATAAATTAATATGAAGTCATCGCAACTGTGAAAATGTTTTATACCTTTTACCACCGCTCACATTTTGCGGAATTTGGGATAATAACGTCTCGTAATTCTTAGGATGAGCTTGAAGGCAATGGTTTAGTCGCTATCACCGGCGTGCTTTGGACTGTATGGTCCGAACTCCGCCACCGCAACCAAACTTTGGTGGTAGGCAGCTTTGCTGTCGTCCGGTTCAATACTACGCCCAAACTATCGCGGTCTTATGTCGTTCGCCATTCCAAACCACCGGGGCTTAGGTTGCGGGTTTCTAGCACTGAACACAGCAGATCCTCATGTCTATGGGGTTTACCCCATCTGATGTTCATCACACAGGGGTGTGTAATAAAAAAAGACGCATTTTCGTGACAGTTGAGAAAATGCCCTCGCACTGTTTGGTGCATATAGTGGAATCTGTGGAATGAAGGCCTTTGGTTTCACGCCGCTATACTGAAGCGATGCACTAGATGAGCACATCCACGGACCGAGCAGTTCAGTCCAACTTACCTCCAAGAATGCCTGTTGGCCTTGGGGCAGCGCTACGAGTCGTGAGCTCATTTGTCGTCAATAACAGAGCGCCGTCGGTCGTCCCGGTGGTCCCGACAGATTCCGGTTCGCGAATCACACGCGAGACAAGGTATCCGGGTTTGGATGGGGCACCGGATGCGGACAACCACAAATTGACTTGGGGTTTGAGGAACCGTGAAAATGAAACCACCTGAGGGATGATCGAGGGGGAACAGAAGAGGATGAAATGGGATAGATTGAGGGCAAAAATAAGCTACCGCAATGAGATCCAAACGAGAAGAAAGAACTCTTAGCGTCCGTTTTATTAGACCGATTGACTCCGATTCGCGAGAAAGTCCAGTCCGCGAAGAGCGGACCGGATTCCATGCATGCCACGGTCGCATGCAACAAATCTTCACCCTGCCGCAGCTATTCGAACATCACGGGCAACAAATCTTCGCACCGGTGAAGGAAATCATAAAGATCGACTGAATTGATCACTTTTTTCTGTAGAACTGTTTGCTGAGATACGCGAGAAAAGAAGTGCGTAGGGTCATTCGTATTGCATCATCGCTTCGCGCTCACTCATGATTCCGCTCAGATAAATTCATTTTTGGTGCTCTCAGGTGCTTCTTTCTCACAATTTCCGCAGTTTGTACTCCCTCCAGTTGACCAGAGACTGAGTGTTCACCGTTTGTTAGTGTTTATGATATTCTTATTATTGCATCTGACATGTGATAATGGCAACTCTGCTGTGTGCATTTGAAGCCCGTTGGACAATTTAAAACTCGACAAGGTCGGCAAGACATATCGGTTCTAGCTACTACTAGCTGTGCAACATTACAACCCTCCTGGCAGTTCAATTGGTCGATCGAGGAAAGAACGCTGTTGATCGTGTGCTTGTCGGACCTGCACAGGAGAATAAGCTACGACCCCTTCATCTGCTGAGACAATCGTCATACTCGAGTATCGACTTTAATATCCGCTAGTGTTAGCTAACACCATTTCTCTTAATTGCCTAGCCACCTTTGGTCGACCGATACTTTGTCAGTAGAGAGAAAGAAAAAAAAACAAATAAGGAAGAAATTCTATTTTGTTCCATAAGAGATGTTCAATATGTCTCCTATCATTCTGTCGGTACAACAAAAGACAGCGAAGACAGTTTTCTTGCACAATTCGCTGCAGTGCACGGATTACCGAACAAGTTGGCACAGCTAAAAGATGCATTCGTTATTGCTTTCTTCGTCGTAAAGCATCGCAATGCACTAAGAATACCAGATTCATCTATCTTTGTTCGTGTATTTTACTTCCTTTTTTCAAGTCAAATCAAGAAAATACTGAAAATACAAAAGTACCATCAACTTTCAGGAAGAGGGTTATAGTCATAAAAAGGCTGCCTGGGAACGTACAAAAATGGAGAAAATAGACAGCGTTTCGAATCCGGGACGTCCTGGTTCAATTCAGATCAGCCCTTACAACGACTAACCATGCACTTTCATGCGCCTGTTTTGGTTGCTGCCTTTTGGTTGCCCATTTGGATAAAACAGTAGAATGATGATGAGATCAGAGCAGATTTAAGCGAGAGTAGCACATTTTCATAGACTGAAGTTACAAGAATAATGAGTATATGCATGAGGGCCACTGTTTGCGACACCCAGCCATATCGCGTAGTGTCTCTCACCACCGGTGACCATGATCTCTGGGTACCCAGCCAGGGAGAGACTATACCTTGACGTGATGTGATGGCTTGTGCACCTCTGTGACCCAACGAGCT